CGCACCGCCCCGGGACCTGACCCCGCTCTCCTGCAGAGAGATGGCTACCGAAGCCCCGTCTACCCGGGACCCCAAGGCCAAGGGCCGCTCAGTCCTCACCCGCCGGCGGGGCTGCATCGCGGGTCGGCTCCCGAGGCTGTGCGGTCCCGCCTGAGCTTGGGCTGGGCACAGGGGAGGGTCCCGCCCCGCCCGCTCGGCGGCAGGAGGGACGGCGACGGCAGGTGCAACGCGGCGGCCCTCCCCGAGCGCCCGGGGGAGAGGGCGCCTGTGGAAACAGCCCGCACCCCGCTCCCGCTCCCAGCAAAGCCCCAGGTCCCAGAGGCCGCCGGGGCGCCCAGGGGGCCAGCGGGACAGGCGTGCGGCGCCCGGGGCTGGGCGTAACCGTCCGCCCTCCGCGCCCGCCGGCCGAGCAGGCGACGGCGGCCCAGAACCTGCCGTCGAGCCGCCCCGACGCCCGCCCGCCCTGCCCCGGGCCGCCCGGCCTCGGCCCCTCCTCGCGCCCCTCCCCCCGCGGCGTCCCCGCCGCCCGCGACGTCGCCCCCCGCCCTCCCCAGGGCAGGTCCGGCCCCGGCGAGCGAGAGCTGCCCTGGTGCGAGGGGCAGAGGGGCAGCTCTCGGAGAGACGCGACGGAGCTCCAGACCCGGCCGTCCAGCCGCTCCCGGCGCCCGGCTCCCGAAGGGCGCGGAGGAAGATGGAGAGCGAGCCCGCGGAGGTGAGGACGGGTCCGGCCCCGGGTCCGGCCCCGGCCCCGGCCCCGGGGTGGCGAGGGGAGCGGGCGGGGTTCGGAGGGGCGGGTCTGGAGCCCAGGCGCCAGGCCGGCTCTTGTTGGGGAGACGCGGGCCCGTCGCCCCGTCGACCACGGGGAAGAGCGGCGTCGGTCCGCCAGCCTCGTCGGATTGTGTCGTGGGTTCGGGAAGGCGCGGCCGCTGGGCCTGGCCGGGTCCGGGCAGGCCGGGGGGCCTCGGAAACGGCCGGGAGGTTGGGGGGCGGCGGCGACGGGGTCCTGTGCACCCGACTGGGTCCGGGCAAGAGAGAGAGCTTTCCCGCCCAAACTGCGCTTGGACGCTCGCACCGCGGGATTCAGCCCGGCCGCCGCCGCGAGGGGCTGTCGGAGCGGCGCCTCCTCCCTCCTCGACGGGCCCGTGGGGGCCCGAGGGCCTGGGAGAAGGGCGCGGGGGGGCCCAAGCTGGACGGGACACCCCAACACCAAGGTCACGGGTCCGAGCAGGTCGCCCGAGCCGGGGGCGGGGGCGGGGGAGGGGCGGCCAGGGGGAGGAGCCGGCGGGGGCGGGGCGGCCGCCGCCACACGCAGCCCCGCCCCGCGCCCGCCGGCAGCCAATCAGCGCGCGCTACGCGAGGGCCGCGGGGTGAGCTACGCACGAGGCCGACGTCGGGTCGGTGCCGTTGAGGGTTCCCGCCACGGCTGCTGGCGGGTTTGTGGGGCAAAATTTCTCGCTGGTTAGCCTTTTTTTCCCTCCCGCACTTTGGTGGGGAGGGGGTGGACCCGCGTGTCGGCGCCCAAATTCACGATGACCCGCGGGAACCCGAGGAAGTTGTCTCCGCGGCCATTTCCTCCGGTGCCTCCACTTGCTGGCCTCGCAGGGGACGGAGCGTCGAGGCCGTGACTGCGACGGTTAGCCGCCCCCTTCCTGTCGTCTCCGTGTCTCCGGGGGCCAAGTGGCGGATGGGGGTCCCGGTTAATCCCCAGCGGGTGGCGGTAGTGAAGGCGCATCCCTTCGGAGGACGGAGGACGCTTTTCGTGAACTGGGTGGTGCTCCACGCTCCCTGAGCGAAGGGCCCCCCTCGTGCCCCAGTCCCCGCGGCTCGCTGCGCACATGGGCTTTTCCTGCCTTTGCAAAGGCATCGCCGGCGGGAGGGGAGGCTGTAGCGGCTCACTCTGCATCGCTGCCCTTCCCTAGGGACTCCACCCGCAAACATTCGAGTATTTTCTAGGCTGTTCCTCACACTGTGTTCTGAAGCCTGCAGGCTGCCGGTTGGCAATGTTGTGAGCAAGAAGTGCTTCGTCCGTTCAAATATTTCCCGAATCCCTGCTCTGCACCATCATGCTATGCCCTAGGTGCTGCAGGGAACAGCACGGGCAAAACCCCTTCCCTTGTGAGCATTACCTTTAGTGGGAAGAGACAGGCAGTAAACATAGCAAATGGTGCGTTGGAAAGTGATAAGTGGTAAAGAGGAGAAGCAGATGGAGCCCACAGTAGAGCAGGAGCCTTAGCGGCTGGAGAATGAAGTGCATTGGATGAAAAAGTTGACCTCCCCGTCCCCCATCCCACACCCGGTTAACTAGTTTCTCGGGATTGGAAATAAAGCACTCTGTTCACTTCTGCTCATGCCATCCCTCTCTCCGGGATAGGAAAAATGGGGGTGACTTTTATGTAAACAAATTTGAGAACAAATGCACTCATCCATCGAACTCATTTTGTAAGAGAATTTCATGAAGACTGATTTTAAATTTGCAAATAGATAATTTCTACACTTTCTAAACAGGCAGAGACAAGATTATATCTACTATTCTATTTTTTCTAGCAATACCAATCTACAGTTGAAAAATAAAATTAAGCATCCCAAAATCATCTATTCTAGGCACGTGTCCCACAAGTGAAGTTACAAATAACCTCCAGATGCCCAGAGAGGATGCTTGTGTTAAGATTGGAGTCCAGATTTCTTCAGTTGGAAACAACAATATAGTAATTTTAAATATGATGACTTTTCTGTGGTTTAGTAGATGTTTTTATGAACTGCCATATTAGAAAGTATGTGTTTTTCCCCCTTAAGACAATATGGAGAATAGAGCCCATAAGGTTCAGTCTATAGCCTCCTAGTCACCACTGGCCTAGTGGTTTGTCCATCTTGCAGAAATTAATTTAGAGATGATGGTTTTATTGGCTAATGAAATGAAAGAGAAGACAAAATGTGGAAAAGAACAATTCCATTATCTAAATTGAAAATTTTATTTTTATGTATTTGTTTCTCGGAGAATTGAAATTATGAACTTCAAGCTTTTTTAGGAACTCACTTAGTATGTTAGATTGTCCCAGAAGTCTTTTTAGTGTTCCTAGAAGGAAAATAATTACCAAGTTCTTGAATTGATTTCTCTTCAAAATTCTATTCCCAAGTCTTCTTTTTTTAGATGTACCTTAAGAGTCTATTATCTTTCCATTGTGCAAAGGCTTATATTTATTAAAATCTAAATTAGGCCCCCTGACTTAGAACTATAAACATATGACTGTACACTGAGCTCAATTCTTTGGTATAAAAATGCATACTTATAGGTATATAATTTTTTTACATCTTCACACAAGGATATGTTTAGAGAGAGAGAGAGGGAGGGAGAGAGAGAGAGACATCGATCGGTTGCCTCCGGTACATGTCCCAACCATGGATTGAACCCTCAACATAAGTATGTGCCCTTATGGGGAATCAACTCAACCTTTTGATATACAGGATAATGCTCCAACCATCTGAGCCACCCATTCAGGGTTAGGTATAGTATAATTTTTAATGCAATCAGTCAAATCTTCAAACTAACAAGTGCATTAAAAAAAATAATGTTAGAACTGAAAAACAAATCTGAATGTCAGTGTTTATTAACTTGTCAATGTTCTTTGGCCAGAGACTGCCAGGAGCACATCTGTAGTTTAATAAAGTTGAGTCTATTGAATTGTCCTTCATAAGGTACACACCATGGGACCTCTCAGTAAGATGATGTTAAAACGAACTTACAGGGTTTAGGCTTATGTTAAGCATTTTTTAGAGTTCAAGGAAGAGGGCTTTATTCTGAAATGCATGTTGTCAGGACAGTGGGAGTAATTGATTAGTATGTTAATTCTTGTAGGCAAGAGATATAGATCAAGGCTAAAGCTGATAAAGAAGAAGGAGCAGTCACTCATTTCAGCCAGAATAGAAGGATGTTTAGTCCTTCTCGTGGTTTGAACAACGCTTTTGTTTTTGTCAATGATCAGACGTGATTATGGAGTGGTCTTATTTTAATCTCGATCCATCACAATCACAGAGTAGCCTTGTTGGTGTTCTGTTAACGAGAATACCACAGCCTAACTATGAGTTCTGGGCCAACTCCTAAAACCACCAGGACCAAGTTGGTTGTGCCAGGCCAGCTCCTAGCTTTCCAGGGCTACTTTTCTGTTACTCAAACTTTTTTTTTTTAGTTTAAAATTCCTCCTTAATACTTACAGTATTTAAGTGGCTATAATATTCTAGTGGTATACTTAATAATAATTAACAAGTATGTTAATATAGTTAAGATTTTATCTACTATAATGGAGTAGATTCTACATTTCCTATCTTTATGTTGCCCAAAAAAGTTACTAGCTTTCATTATAATCTTCATAAATTAGAATAAAATTAAAGTCTAAAGTATATTTTATTTAAATGACATCTTTTTGAAACATACGTGTTTTCAGCCTGCATCAAAAGTTATATCCAGCCCTAGCAGTTTGGCGCAGTGAATAGAGTGTCCACCTGCGAACTCAAGGGTCCTGGGTTCGATTCTGGTCTAGGGCATATGCCCCAGATTGCAGGCTCGATCCCCAGTGGGGGGCATGCAGGAGGCAGCCAATCAATGATTCTCTCTCATCATTGATGTTTCTATCTCTCTCTCTCCCTCTCCCTTCCTCCCTAAAATTAATAAAAATATATTTTTTAAAAAGTTATATCCAGCGTGCCCTAACTGGTTTGGCTCGGTGGATAGAGCGTCCACCTGCAGACTAAAGGGTTCTGGGTACGATTGGTCCAGAGCACATGCCCGGGTTTTGGGCTCAACCAGGGTAGGGGGCGTGCAGAAGGCAGCCAATCAGTGATTCTCTCTCCTCATTGATGTTTCTATCTCTCTCTCTCCCTCTCCCTTCCTCTCTGCTATCAATAAAAATATATTTTTATAAAAACATATTTTTTAAAGTGATATCCAGTGCTAAAAGTTTAAAAAGAATTTTATTTTACAGCAAACATCAAATCAGACACAAACAGATTCATTGTCTTCATCCCCTAATCCTGCATCACCTGTGCCTTTGAATAACCCAACAAGTGCCCCAAGATATGGAACAGTGATCCCTAATCGCATCTTCGTAGGAGGAATTGACTTTAAGGTACCTATTTCAGTGTATAACATAGTGTAATTTTTGCATTAGAAGTAGTTTTATTTCTTGGAAATTGTTTCCTTGTGCAGCTATAAAAATAATAACATATTTGCTGTTTGTACAATGATTAATAGTTTTCAACTTGTCTTATTATAGAGAATATTTTCAAAAACATTGGAGATTAAATAGAGCATATATAATTGTGCAGTTTCACATACATGGAAATTGAGACTCACTGACCTGTCTATAAGTCTCCTAGCTAGCTACTTAGTGACAGCAAAAAGACTAGAATCCTACTTTCCTGACTCATAGCTCCATATTCTTCATTTCACCATATCATATTAGTTATACTTTCTTGCATAGTACTCCAGAAGCCCAAATAAGTGATTATAATTTACAAAAGTAGACTCAAAAAAACACACAAAATTTGTCCTATGAAATCCTGTTTCTTTACCCCAACTTTTATTTCTGATTCCTGAGTACCCTCCTAGACTTTCATCTTTTGCAAATTGCTTCCTATCACCTAACTTAAAATTTGATCACCCAAACAGGCCTGTGTTCTTGTCAGAATAAAGCATCTTAACAGTAATATATTTAAATGATATAATAAGCTGTTTCAGAAAGGCATACTTTGTGAGATGTTTTACAGCATCCCCATATAGTAAACACCTACAGAAAAGGCATGCAAGGATATATTAAGTGGAATCTTAAGCAACTATAAGAATGGTTCACTAAAAATAAAGAAAAATGATTTCTTATGAAATGCCTATTTTAAATATTTTATTTCTATGGAAAATATTAATGGCAGACCATAAATATTCAAGTTGATTATTCTTGTTCAGGATTTATATTAAAACAGCTTAGTATATTTTTTAAAATAAATCATCAATAAATTAAACATTTGGCTATGTTATTCTAACTTACTGAAAACTACAAAATGAATTTGGGAGGCTCTATTGTTACAATGCAGTCATAGCTTTAGGATAACTGCTAGAATTCCCTCCCTTAAACCTTTTCCAAAATCATAGATAAATTCCCACAATGAAACTGTTTACTGTAGTCCCAAGAAGTCTCAAACTTTTTAAAACTTTTTTTAGAAGCCCATCTCTCTGTAATATTTAGTCATCTTGACTTTCTGTCTCCTTTAAGTTTGAATTGCAAAATTGAGCTATTGATTCTTTATCAGAAAATACTTTGAATTAATTTGTTTTCAGTTCTCCAATAGAAAGTCTTATTCTGGTGTTAATTTCATTTTGTCCTGAAATGAGTCATTCATTTATTCTCCAGTTAGCTCAGTATGTGTCACCATCCACGTTAGCAGGCTTCAGGTTACTAACTAAACAATAGTGTATTTAAGTAGTAAGGTAGCAGTGGAACTCAAAAGGCATTAGCTCTGCTGCTAGGCATGTGCTTACCTATGTCTATAAAGAAAATATTTTCTAGGGATATTTAAAGATCCTCTTAGGGCAAACAGTTATAGATGAACCAGAAAATGAAATTGCAATGAATTTAGTATAAATACTGCAAGAAAGGTGATATAAGTCTATTATGAGAGTAATTAAAACTAGATATGCCAGCCCTAGCTAGTTTGGCTCCGTGGATAGAGCATCAGCCTGCCGACTGAAGGGTCCCGGGTTCGATTCTGGTCAAGGGCACATGCCTAGGTTGCGGGCTCGATCCCCAGTGGGGTGTGTGCAGGAGGCAGCCAATCAATGATTCTCTCTCATCATTGATGTTTCTTTCTATCTCTCCCTCTCCCTTCCACTCTGAAGTCAAAAAAATATTTTAAAAATAAACTAGATATGCCAAAACTATCTTATATATTATAGTCTAATTATAATTCAAATTTTATTTTGAATATAATGTCTATTTAGCTAAAATGTATATTTTGAGTATGATAAAGCATCCAAAAACTTTAAATTATGTAACTACTTCATTGTTATCACAAAATGAGTTCACGAACGTCTGGAAATATATTCCTTTCCTAAGACCTACCCTTCCAGGATACTATGCTGATTAAAAGTGACTGGTGTAGGCCAACATAACTTAGTTCCACTGCCTTCATGTGAGCCCTCTAGGAACACATGTTTCCCCCACTTCCTGAAAGTAGAGCATTCCTATGAAACCTTTCATAAACTGAAATGTCCTAAAGCGAGGACATAAATGCATATGGAAAAATTTTTAGTGTTTCCCAGGCCTCCCAAAATACCCAACCAAATCATACCAAATATGTTTACGTCCAGTTTTAAGCTAAGCATAGCATCTTCATGCACTCTCTCAGGCTTCTCTGACACCTCAGGACACATCTTGCTCAGGGATACACAGAATAAATCAAGATAAAGCACAGATGCTCACAGGCACAGTTCGGAGCCATAGCAGCTGGATGCTGAGCTGTGAGTGCAGTTCCAGGGGAGGAGCTGGGCTGCGCTGCCTCTGTGGTACACGGGCTTGCTGCAGAACAACGGCTGAACATATTTCCACTTTTTGCCTTTTCTCCTAAAAGCAGAAGTCCTCTGGATTTCTTTTGGTTAGCCAAAACAGGTACTAATGTAGGTCTTCTGTAAAAGTGGTGTTAGACAAACCTTCGAACAGCATGGACCACCTGTATTTCTTTACTATAATTACAGACATGCTTAATGCAAATTATATTTTTCAACTGGCCAACTAGAGAATAAGAACTCCTTTAAATACTGAGCTTTCTTTGCAGTTTTAAAACAATTCAGCTTAAAACTTTTTACTATTAAACTATGTTTAACAATGTAGTTCTGAATAAAGCAAAGTATTGACATATATTGATTTTAATAACCTAGTGGTTTCATCCACTGTTTTAATGAGAGGTATTCTTATACTCATTCATATTATTTATTTATAAACTTTTCTGTCTCTAAAACAAGCATGAGTTTTTACATCTTTTATCAATTAAAAAATGTTTTTGTTTTTTTCATGCCATTAGACAAATGAAAATGATTTAAGAAAATTTTTTTCTCAATATGGGTCTGTAAAAGAAGTGAAGATTGTAAATGACAGAGCTGGAGTGTCTAAAGGGTTAGTATCACTATAGATAGTACATGGAATTAGCAATTGTGTTTTTATTGGGTTACTAGGTTTTGCATGCTAACTTACTTTGCTTCCATTTTTTCAAAAGAGATTTTTGTGCAGTCTTCTTTCCTCCTCCCTTTTGCCCTTTTGATCTCGTGTGTGTGTGTGTGTGTGTGTGTGTATGTTGGAGGAGGGGGGACACTGTAATTTGTTGGGAATTATTCTTGCATGGGCTAAGGGACCATTCAGTGTTACATAGCAAACACTTAATGTTGAGTAGATAATGTCCAATAGCTGAGGAACCAGAAGCTAAAGGAATCAGATATTGTTGCAACTACATACCTGCTTTAGACTAAATCGAGCTTTATTTGAAAAAAAAGCTGACACAAAGGAATCTCTGTAGGTTGTGCATCAGAGACCTCATTAAGGGACTAATCTGAGAAATATTACTCAAGAATAATTTTTAATTTCTTAATCAAGGAGAATGAAAATTGAGAAGAAAGCAGTAGGATTTGTCTAGAAATGTCTAATGACCTTAGAGCTGTTTTAGTAAGTTGGTATATGCAAAAGCCAAATTTCAGAGGGAAAAAAAAGTAGTTTATATAGTGTACTTACCTAAGAAGTTTGACTGCAAAGTTAAAATAGTTAAGGCAGTGGAGATCAGAGAAAGATTGTACGTATTTGTTTCCTTGAAAGAGAGGCAAGACGTCCGTATTTATAGGTATAAGAGAAGGGACCAATGAAGTGATAGGAAACTATAGAAGAGGCAAACAACATGACAAGTGGGTACTTTGGAAGAGGTAATGGGATTCTGCAGAGAGGTTTTTTCTAAACAGATGAGCGACTTCTTCCTACTGATGAACAATGTTATGATAAAGTGAGATTGTATTTCTTTTGTTTAGCTTTAGAATTGGCGGTATTTTGGTAATATCCATTTTTATCATTGATTATCACATAGAAATACGTATAAACTATTTTATGCCTTTTCCACTGGGTGGTGTATGTGTTCTACAAAAAAACTCAGTGTAAAAATACTTCCTTAACCCTTGTTTAATGTTTAGCCAAATATAAAAGAGAAATTCCTTTGTTTAAAAAAAAGAAACTTTATACAATAATTAAGAAAATAAGAAACATAGCACTACTCAAAAGAGTTTCCTTAAGTTATTTAAATAGAAATTACATTTTGGAGGGATATGCTTTTTATTTCTTTTATTTCTTTTTGTCTACCTGTTTTGGGTTTTTTTGAACATGTATTTGTATTTTGAATGTTATATGAATTATACTCTGAAGGTAACAATTAGATATGAAAAGTAGGTGTAAAGTCTGCATTGTACATATTTCTAGTTTAATTTGTTTAGTAAGTACATAATTGTATTATCGGTTTATATGTGCTCATAATAGTAATTAATGTATTTGTATACACATTTACCAATGTAAAAGTTTTTTTGTGTTGACATTTTTTAATTAAATTTTTTTTTTCTATTTAAGCCAAACCTCTGTTATTTTAAAGAGATTATTGCTCTGGACTGAAACTTATTGCATCCTAATTTATAAGCCAAAACGTGTATCTCTTATGCTCTTCTATCTTATACAGTTCAGATCTGAAACTATTTCAGGAACCTGAGCTTTTTTCTTTTAGTCCCCTGACTCTCAGAGGAAGTGATAGTGTTAAGTTTCACTATTCTCTAAAAATTCTCCTAAGTTTTTTATGCTCACTCCTACAGTGGCCCATTCTTAAAACACAAATTTTTTTTTAAATTGTAATATAATTCTAAAGTAATGTTCTAAGAAAATAATTCATTTATTTAGGTATGGTTTCGTCACTTTTGAAACACAAGAAGATGCACAAAAAATTTTACAAGAGGTAAGATGTTTTAATGTATTTAACTTTCTTTTTGGAATTTCTTTCAAAATAATTCTTTGTGGTGTTTATTTTAATAGTACAGTTCTAGTACAATGATCAGTTGCTAAAAAATTTTTTAATTTATTTGCATCTTAAGGTTGACATTAGCCTACAAAAAAATTGAATTAATAAAAAAAAGCATTAAAGAGAAATTTCAAATCATTACATGAGTATGGTTGTGGAGTTGTAATCTAATTTTTTACTTTATTTGCTTAAGCTAAGAATGTGAGGATATATATTTTCTGAGTGTTAATAGTACTTTAAATTCCTAAAAAACACTACACATATGGATTTCTAGAATGAGGTTATCTTTGATTATTTCCCCTCCTATGAAAATCTTTATATGATCTAAGAACATTCATATTTAAAAAAATCTGTAGCCTGTAATTTGGGGTAATAACTTAAATTTGGCAAAGGTGACATTAAATTTTTTAGAAAAAATAGATTTTGAATTGTATATTAAATTCTCAGTTAAATATTAATTGTATATTAAGTACTCTGTTCTCCTTGTTTATAGTAGCAATGTTCTATAAAGTCACCACAAATACTGAATTAGCAAATATTGAACTGCTGTTTCTACAAGTATACGCCTAGGTTTCCACAAGCTTCTGCCCCCAATATTTTCATCAACCAATCAATACATAACTTTATTTTATGTGTGTTTCTGTTTAAAGACATACTTAGTGTTATTAATTCATTAATAATTGATTTCATGGCCAACAGCACTGCAGCTCATGCCTGAATGAAGTCCACCTCTTCTCCATAAGGCACATGACAGCCTTCTTACGCCTAACAACGCTGACCAGCGCTTCAGCACCACACTCAAAGGCCATTTTAAGTAGCAAAATCACCAACATAAAGACAAAAATGCAAAACACGTGGTACTATATAGACCACAGAAAGAACACTTGTTTACAGTATAAAAGCTGAAATAAGACAGTGTCACCTTCTTTGATCTCAACTGGAACCATGTGTCAGGCAATTCACATTTTTCACCTCTGCTCTTGCCAGCTAATAACCGCTAAATTGCCATGAGTATTGATTTTGGGATTACAAATAAATTTTAATGAGTAGATTAATTCCCAAATCCATGAATAGAGAATTGACTATTTCAGATGAGGAATTAGGGTCAGAGCAGTAGATTCGGACCTAGATCTGTTTAAATCCAAAAACTTTGCCCTTTCCACTGTGACTTGCTGCTATCAAAGAATGTTATAGTCTGAATTTTAAAAAGTGTTTCTTACTAATTTTCCGTATTGGTTTTATAAACAATAGTACCAAAATAATTAAAAAAAAATTTTCTTATTTTAGGCTGAAAAACTGAATTATAAGGATAAGAAACTAAACATTGGTCCAGCAATAAGAAAACAACAAGTAGGGATCCCTCGTATGTATTAACAACTAATGTATTTTTCAATATTTTTACATGGTTCTTTTTTTAAATATTAAACTTTCGGTAGAACTTCATTAAAATATCAGGTTCCTTTCATTTAATAAAGTTACTTTGGCAAAGTTGGTGGCCAAATGAATATTTCTCATCACAAATTAATATATACTAGATTGGGAAGGGGTGGGTTGGGGAAATTTTACCTGTATAATGATGCTTAAGTATATTCTAGCCCTAACCGGTTTGACTCAGTGGATAGAGCGTCGGCCTGCGTACTGAAGGGTCCCGGGTTTGATTCCAGTCAAGGGCATGTACCCTGGTTGCGGGCACATCCCCACTGGGGGGTGTGCAGGAGGCAGCTCATCGATGTTTCTTTTTCATCGATGTTTCTAACTCTCCCTCTCCCTTCCTCTCTGTAAAAAATCAATAAAATATTTTTTAAATAAATAAATAAATAAATAAATAAAAAGAACATTAGGTACTTATTATACATCCATTGACAAATTAATAGATTGTGTTCATTTGGACTGTTCTGTTTTTGACTTAGAAGTTAACAGATAGCGAGTTTAGTTTTGATTTGGTATTTATCAATTTAGAATTTGTAGGGGGGAACCAAAATGTCTTCCAGAAAGTAGAATCTCCTCCTACTTCACTGCCTCCCTCACCATTGGCTTTTACAAATAAATGTCTTATTAAGTCTTAGGAACTTTACTACAGTGACTGTAGAGTAAATGAATTACATATAATTTACATTGTAAAAATAATCATCTAATTGTTAGCTTTGTGTTTCATTTTACTGATATTAAAGTCTGAATTGGTGAAATTTTAGTATTTCTTATTAAACTTGTTTCTTTTTTTATGTACCTTAAGCTAATAAAATTTTTAAGGTAATAAGTTTGAAAATATATACTTCAAAGATATTTTAACATATAGAATTAAAAAATAACATAACATTCAATTTTTACTGTAACTATATAGGTGTATTAGGATAAACATTTTCCAGTGTTCAGAAATTACAGTCTTTAAAGTTAAATTTAGCATTTCAATTATTATTATTTAATCTTTACTTTAGGTTCCAGTATAATGCCAGCAGCTGGAACAATGTACCTAACAACTTCAACTGGCTATCCTTATACTTACCATAATGGTGTTGCTTATTTTCATACTCCAGAAGTAACTTCTGTCCCACCACCTTGGCCTGTAAGTAATTTCATTTTAGAAGGGTTTCCATCTATTACTATTAATTTTTAAAATATTTATTTTATTTCCAAAAAATGTCAACCACAGACAAGTACAAATAATAAGATAATAGCCATGTAGCTACCACTCAAGTTTAGTATATGTTACCATTTAGCCATATTTAACTTAAGATTTTTAATGGGAAGAATAAAATACGGTAAAGTCACATAAAGTCTCCTTGCTCGCATTCTCTTACCCTCCTTTCCTCCTCAGAGGTAACCAGAATATCTTTCCTGTTTTACATGTTTTTACTACAAATATAGGTATGCTTAAACAATATATAGTATTGCTTTGGGTGTTTTTAGACACTATATAAGTAAGTCTTTTAGATTAAACCATGCTGATTCTAGTATTTCTAGTTCACTTACTTTAAAATTTTATAATATTCCATTGTATGAGTGTACATTCCCTAATTGAGGGACATTTTAAGTTTTTTCTACAATCAATACTAAAATGAACATCTAAATGGTGCATGTGTCATAAGTTTGTCTAAGACAAGTAGTCTTAAAAGTTTTTTGGTTCTATATCTTCTAAATGTTTTTGAAAATTATAGAATACTCTCATTTTTAAGTTGATAACTGAAATTTATCATAATTTTAAATAGTTTAGGCATACTATATACCAGTGATAGCGAACCTATGACACATGTGTCAGAGGTGACACGTGAATTAATTTTTTGGTTGATTTTTCTTTGTTAAATAGCATTTAAATATATAAAATAAATATCAAAAATATAAATCTTTGTTTTACTATGGTTGCAAATATCAAAAAATTTCTATATGTGACACGGCACCAGAGGTAAGTTAGGGTTTTTCAAAATGCTGACACGCCGAGCTCAAAAGGTTCGCCATCTCTGCTATATACTGTAGATTTGGTTTAGGTATGTTTTTGTCAAACTTTGCAGCTGTATATTTTAAGAATAGAAAAGGTTCTATGTGTGGTGATGGATGTTAACTAGACCCTAGCCCTCTCCCTCTCTCTCTAAAATCAATTAAAAAACATTTTAAAAAAATACAGGTATTCTATATTTTATTTTTAAAATACTGTCATGTTGCTGTTTTTCATATGTAGATATCAAATCAGGAGTTTGTGTTGACTGATCTATCCACTTCCAGTTTTGAAACAAATCCTTTATCAAATGCCAGGTTTTCCATGTGTGGGTCTCTTTCTGAGCTCTCTGTTCCAAGTCTGCCCTTCGCAATTCTGTTTTCATTCCTATTGCTTTATAATGAATCATAAGGTCTGACAGGGCAGTTCTGGCACTGTGCTCTTCAGGAGTCTCTCATCTATCTTTATGTTTTTGCTTTTACAAATACAAATTTTACAATTCTGCTTATTCCATTCTCTGAAAAGCCTGTTTGGGTTTTGGTTAGAATTGGATTCAATATATAGATCAATTTGGAACATTCGGGTATATTAAATTTTCTTACTAGTGAACACTTATTTAGGTCCTCTTTTATTTCCATCCATCAATCAAATTTCCTTTTCTCCATAAAAAAGTTTGACACACACTAGCTGGTTTGGCTCAGTGGAGAGAGCGTTGGCCTGCGGACTAAAGGGTCCCAGGTTGGATTCCGGTCAAGGGCACATTCCCGGGTTTCGGACTCGATCCCCAGTAGGGGGTGTGCAGGAGGCAGCCGATCAGTGATTCTCTCTTGTCATTGATGTTTCTATCTCTCTCTCCCTCTCCCTTCCTCTCTGAAATCAATAAAAATATTTTTTTTAAAAGTTTGACACATTTTTTGTTGAATTTATTCTGAGGTACGCTATAGTTTATGAATGGTATAGGTTTTTAAATCCTATTTTTTCAATACATTGTGGCTGGTATGTAGTAATGCTTTTGATTTTTAAACGTTGATATTTAAACTGCCAAACTCTCACAGAGACAGTCATTTATGATGCAAAGTACCTCTATTGCTTTCTGCTCTTTTGTGTCTCATGTTTTTCCGCATTGAGTTATTGCACTGGCAGTACCTCAGCTATAGTGTTTATGCAATAACACAATGACCTTGTTTTGAAAGAGAAAATAAGTCCAGTGAGTTGCCATTAATATTTTATTTATAGCCCTGACCAGTTTGGCTCAGTGGATAGAGCGTCAGCCTGCGGACTGAAAGGTCCCGGGTTCGATTCCGGCCAAGGGCATGTACCTTGGTTGTGGGCACATCCCCAGTAGGAGGTGTGCAAGAGGCAGCTGATTGATGTTTCTCTTTCATCGATGTTTCTAACTCTCTATCCCCCCTCCCTTCCTCTCTGTAAAAAATCAATAAAATATATAAAAATTAAAAAAATAAAATATTTTATTTATACACACACATATACATATATAAGGTGTCCCCAAAAAATGTATACACACTTTGAATAATTATTAATTCTAATGGGTTAAATCTGAAAAGAAAATAACATAAATTGAGCTATCAGAAAATAGTGTACATATATATTTTGGGGAGCACCCTGTATATACATACATACATACATACGTATATATGCACTGTAGGTTTTCAAAGATACTCTTAATTTTAACCAGGGTTTCTCAACTTCAGCACTACTGACATTTTGGGCCAGATGACTTTTTGTTGTGGGAGGCTGTATATTTAGGATGTTTAGCAGTGTCTTAGCCTCCCTACATTTAGAAAACCAAAAATATTGCCAAATGTTCCCTACAGGGACAAAGTCAAACCTGGTGAAGAATTAATGCCCTAAATCAATAAAGAAGTTCCTTTTTATTCTGTTTGCTAAGGGTTTTTATCATGAAAGGCTATTGAATTTAACAAATGCTTTTTTGTATCTGCTAAGATTATCATGTTTTGCTCCTCCTATAATCTATTAATAAATTATTATTTTCCATTGTTAATCTATGGTGCAATTTTAGTAGCATATGATAGATAGTCTACAGATTGTGCAAAGAGAGCTATAATACTTTACTTTAGTTACTGGGGTAAAACATTAAAACAATGTAAATTACATCCCTGTTATTAGAAAATGAATTTTAATTGCTATCATTAAAGCTTATTTTACCTACCTTAAAACAACTTGCCTGTTTTATTAATAAGCTGGTTTTAAATTTGGGGATTTACTCTATTACTTTGAATAATTGAGTGTTAGGTGTATACTTTTTCCAAACAGATAAATCACTTGTAAGTTTATTTATTGGATGATTAATTCATTTAAATGTCAAATGAATAAAATAGAATTTAACAAGTGCTTCAATAATTTATATATTTGCTTTAATTAAATGCATAACAAGGAAATAGGATGTTGATTATTTATAAGTAGTCGGAAATCAGTGGCAAAATCAGCTATGATTGTTCATTCAAGTCTAAATGCTATGTACACATTATCTACTGCTGGTCTCCACAATGGAAATAGGCAGTGACACCTTAAGTCTAGCTGCCATTGCCCTCTGAATATTCTTAGACCTATCCTATATAATAAAGGGCTAATATGCAAATCAACCAAACAGCAGAATGACCGGCCCCTCTGACACACATTGACCACCAGGGGGCAGATGCTCAATGCAGAAGCTGCCCCCTGGTGGTCAGTGCACTCCCACTGGGGGAGTGCCGCTCAGCCAGAAGCCAGGCTCACATCACAGGCTGGCAAGCGCAACGGCGGTAGCAGGAGCCTCTCCCGCCTCCGAAGTAGCGCTAAGAGCTATCAGTTGGACATCCCCTGAGGGCTCCCAGGCTGAAGGACACCACCCCCTCCGAGTGCATGAATTTCATGCACCAAGCCTCTAGTATTTTCATAATCTTTGGACTAAAAGCAACGTTTCTGATGGTGGTTTTAACATTACCATAGAAATAAAACCACATAGGAATACTGTGATGATTTTAATAAACTTAAGTGGAGTTGATAATATCAATAAGAGGTGGGAAAATGACATTTCCAATAATAAACTATAATTTGCCTGGGTTTAGGTAACAATTTGAGATAAATTTTATTATAAACTATTTTAAAGAATTTTGCCTAAAATAATTTTCCATTTTCTTTCCTCTCATAGTCACGTTCTATATCTAGTTCCCCTGTGATGGTAACTCAGCCTGTTTATCAGCAGTCTGCATATCACTACCAGGTAAACATTAAATTAGTACAGTGAAAATTCTCCTTGATCACTTTAGTCTTTTTTTGGGTGTCTCTCATTTTATTCTTTGTCATGCAAATACTGTAGTAATTAAAGAGATAGTTAAGCCTTGATAGCAATGTTTTTGTGGGGGGTTTTCTGACAGGGGGTTATAGGAGGAGTAAACAATGTCATACAGGAAGATGGACTATTTGCTTCCTTTTACAAAAAATAATTAGGTCAGTTTTGTTCCCCTGACTAACAATCTAAAAAGTCTTTAGAAATAATTCCTAAAGTAAGATACAGATATTGGACCACAGACTGAATTTTTAATGTTACTGTTAACATTACATTAATTTCTTGTTACCATATTTAATATATAGTTGACCCTTAAACACTGAGGAGATTAGGGGCACTGACCCCTACGACACACATGAGTTCTGTGATTGGTTCCAGGACCCACCACCCCACACCCACAGACACCAAAATCCTTGGGTGCTTAAGTCCCTTATATAAAACTAGAGGCCTGGTGCACAAAAATTTGTGCATTGGGGGGTGGAGGGGGTCCCTCAGCCCGACCTGTGCCCTCTCATAGTCTGGGACCCCTCGGGGGATGACCATCTGCTGGCTGAGGCCTGCTCCCCAGGGGATTAGGCCTAAGTTGGCAATCAGACATCCCTCTGGCAGCCCAGCAGCCATCAGGGGATGTCCACTTGCCAGCGGGGAGCAGACCTAAGCTGCAGTCGGACATCCTTAGCGCTGCTGAGGAGGCAGGAGAGGCTCCCACCACCACCACTGTACTGGCAGCCGTCAGCCTGGCTTGTGGCTGAGTAGAGCTCCCCATGTGAGAGCGCCCTGACCACCAGAGGGCAGCTCCTGCATTGAGTGTCTACCCCCTGGTGGTCAGTGTGTGTCATAGTGACCAGTCATTCCCAGTCTTTCTGCTGTTAGGGTCAGTTTACATATTACTCTTTTACTATATAGGACAGAGGAATGGTGCACGGTGGGGGCCGGCTGGTTTTCCCTGAATGGTGTCCCGGATCAGGGTGGGGGTCCCGCTAGGGTGCGTGGCAAGCCTGGGTGAAGGGCTGATGGCTGTTTTCAGGCTGCCCATACCCCCCTTCATGGTGGGGGGTCCCCACTGGGATGCCTGGCCAGCCTGGATGAGGGGCTGATGGCTGTTTTCAGGCTGCCCACACCCCCTTTAGGGTGGGGGTCCCCACTGGGGTGCCTGGCCAGCCTGGATGAGGGGCTGAGGGCTGTTTTCAGACGAGCCAAGCCTGCAATTGAAGCTTCCAGTCTCTCCTTTTTTTTTTTTTTATTCTGGGATTTATTTACCTTCTGTAATTGAAACTTTGTTGCGGCTCCAGCTCCCAGGCCGGCTGGCTGAAAGCAGGTTTCTGGGGATTGTTTAGCTTCTATAATTGTAACATTGTTGCTTAGAGTGCAGCTCAGAGCCCAGCTGCAGCAGGCAGGGAACCTTGGCTTCCTCCATCACTGGAGCAAGCAAGCCTCCTGCTCACTTCAGCTGCCTGGCTGCCGGCCACCATCTTTGTTGGCAGTTAATTTGCATATCACCCTGATTAGCCAATGGGAAGCATAGCAGAGGTATGGTTAATTACCATGTTTGTCTATTATTAGATAGGATGGCATAGAACAATGCGTACTGTCTGTCTTTCACATCCTCAGTTGTTTTAATTCATCTATGCAAAACTGGGGATGTGGAGAGCCAATTTTATTGAAAATAAATATTGAGGGCCAACATTTATTGAAAACATCCATGTATAAATGGACACACGCATTTCAAACCAATGTTGTTCAAGGGTCAACTGTAATGTATGTTAAAATCGCGATTATATTGTGATTATATTATGATAGCATCTTTTGGTTAGCCAGCATTCTTTTTTTCATTCTTATTGGAGACGGATAAGTGAACTGTAATGCCAGACTATTTTGTTGTTTTGTAAATAAGGCATAGTTGAACTACAGCCATACATGTTTACATATTGTCTGTAGATGCTTTTGTGCTACAGTGGCACAGTTGAGTACTTACAACAGAGATATTATGATCTGCAAAGCTTAAAATATTCATCCTCTGGCCCTTTATAAAAAAAGTTTGCCAGCCTCTGGTCTATACCATTCAAAAATAAAACCACATTCTTTCATACTCTGAAATAGTGAAAGAGAATGCATTTGTTTATTTTTTTTCTTTTTGAACTTTTAAAACAGACCCACATAAAATGTTAAGGCCATTGGAATTCTTTCTGGTATTAGACTGGCTTTGGGGGAGGTCACTTATTATTATATTACTATGCTAAATATAAAACTAAAGTGTTTCTTTCACTTACTAAAAATAGAACTTAATGATATTTGTTTAAAATATATATGTAGCATGACTTTTCCTAAACTGGCTCAGATTTTCAGCAGAGGCCCCAAACACAAACGTTAAGTACCAGACCATTTAACATGAGAAACCAATTGTGAAACCAGTTTGGGGATCTTAAACTCAGTGCCCACCTTGTGCACAGATAAGGGGAAGGAGATTGGTAGGGAAGATTGGTAAGAAGGAAGCTTAACAAGGGAGTTAAGAGTCCTCCTCAACCAAGTGAAGATGACTTCTGAAAATAACTAAGCTTAATATTCCCTTGAAATTTGTGAGATGGTATCACTTGGACCCGACCTCTCCTAAAAAAAAGTTCAAAGAAAAAGCTGGAGTCATCTACGGGAGGCAGAGCCAGGAGGGAAGGTCTACAGTGGGAATGTGTTAAACCTTTGCTTAAAGGTTGTTTCCCAAGAGCAAGGTGTGAACCTCACAGAAGAGACTCTTTCCAAAAAAACTCTAGAGAAATTACCTTAGTAGAGAAATAATCTGTGTAAAGTAAACTTCTAGAATCAAGGGCTAGCATAGTCTTGCTGGAATCAAAAGTTCTAACTAGAGAGTTGGCATTTGGAATCTACCACACCCAAAAGTGACCTGTCCTCATTTTTCTCCAAGGGCAAGGAAGACTACACAGCACAATGCTTTTGAAGTGGAGGGTGGAAAAGGAAAGTCCCTTTCTGCTTGCACCCTATTGAACCAGCTCCTTCTTTATTGATTGATTAACATACAGCTATAGCTCACTTGACATAGCGGATGTATTCTGAAAATTTTCTAATGCAATTTAGTTTTATACTTTAACTCTGGTTTTCTACTTGCAGTTATAAAATTGAAAGTATGTTGCCTTCATGTACTTAGGAAAGATTTTGGTACCAATTTGTAATATATTTTACAATATAAGAAATAATTTTACTTCACATACTTCTTTTGAGCTATATATTCTTCATCAGTCTATCCTTAAAATTCCCATTTTGATAAAAATAGTCCCTTACCCTTTCTTTTTACAAAATCAAGATTGATAGCTTTATCAATTTTTGCTAATCAGATCAGGTAATTCATGGTTTAGTCAGGTTTTATCTCCTTTGTGTTTTTCACTTCATAAGTAGTGATTTCATTTATCTAACAAATCTATATATAAATCATTTTACTTCAGATATTTTTATTAAAATATTTTCTTAAGCCCTTTCTCTCTGAAATCAATAAAAATATATTTTTAAAAAGGATCTTCTTTAAAAATAATATTTTACTCCTTTCTTCAAATATCAACATTCAAAATAAAAATATCATTTGATCCCCCCAAAAAAATAAATAAAATATGATCTTTTTTTATTATTCTTTCACCTAACATAATGTTTTCATGATTTGTCCATGTGGTAGCATGTATCAGTATTTCATTCCTTTTTATGGCTGAATAATATTCCATTATATAGATATACTACATTTTGTTTATCCATCAGATGATGGACATTTGGGTTGTTTTTATTTTATTTTTATTTTGGGGCTGTTGTAAATAATGCTGCTATGAACATTTGTGTACAAGTTGTTGTGCAGACATGTTTTCATTTCTCTTAGGTCTTACACCTCAGAGTTGAATTACTGAGTTTATATGGTATCTCTGTGTTTAATCTTTTGGTGTCATGCTGTTTACAAAAAAGACTGTACCATTTTACATTCCTACCAGCAATTTATAAAAGTTCTAATGTTTTCACATCCTTGCCAACACATTATTGATTTTAATTTTGATGAAGTTCAGTTTATCTTTTTTCTTTTCTTGCTTTTGTTGCTTGTGCTTTTGATGTCATAATTTTAAAATTTGCTTGATTCAAAGTCATGGAGATTTATGACCTCTTTCGTAATAGTTTTATAGTTCTAGGTCTTAATTTTGGTCTTGGATCCATTCTGAGTTCATTTTTGTACATAGTTTGAGGTATAGGGGTCCAACTCCATTCTTTGCATGTAAATAATCCAGTTTTAACCCTTGTTTATTATCTGTGGGGTCTTTTTTCTTTCATTTTAGGCCCCTGCACAGTGTCTACCAGGTCAGTGGCAGTGGAGTGTTCCTCAGGTAAATATTAACTTTTTTCACTGTGCTTTTGTGAATACTGCATGAATATTAAAATCAGGAGAACTAGGTTAGAGATCTTTCTCTGTTATTTATTAACTGTGATACCTTTGGCAGTTTATTTAATCACTATATTTCTCAGCTTCCTCATTTGTGAAATAGAAGTAATGAGACTACTATCCCTTTGTAAGTTTTCTAATGATTTTTGTGAAGATCAAATGAGACTATGTTAGTGAAAGCATTTTATAAATGAGTGTTGCAAAAACGTGAAAAATTACTTATTTTTATTAGTATTATTGGAAATTTTAACATTTTTCTAGCCTTCATATTTTGCTTGTTTGACCTATGCTCTCAAATAGGTATTCCATCTCCCAACTTTGATAACAAATAGTATCCCACCAAAAGATTGTTTCATCTTTTTTGACATTTTCCACCTCCATGCGAGTCACAAAGCTGAGAATAGATGGTTATGATAGTTTAAATACCATTGTTTATATTATTACAGCCTTTAGTAGTAATCTTAATAAAATTATCTCAGTTTATAGATGAGGTTCTGAAGCACTAAGAACTTGTAGCCCTTACTAGTGATACAGTTTTTAAATGACATCTACACAACTGGAATTTATAACAACCCCAGAGCTCCTGATTTGTTGCTGAGATACTTCTAAGCTATCCTTGAAAAAGAACTTCAGAAAAATATGAAACAAATATTTCTCTCACCTGTTGGGTAAATCATTTGGTTTAAATGTCATAACTAATCATATTTGGAACTATGATTTTGTGTTTCAGTCTCCTGCCTCTTCTGCTCCGTTCCTATACCTACAGCCGTCTGAGGTGTTTTATCAACCAGTGGAAATTGCACAAGATGGAGGATGTGTTCCTCCTCCGCTGTCTCTGATGGAAGCTTCCATTCCAGAAGTACGTAATAGTCTCCAAGTAATTTATCTTACATTTATTTCTTTTTCTTTTCTAAAAGTGTTTGTTCAAGACCTTCATTGAAGTTGCATATCTTATCTTTTTCCTTTTTTATATCTAAGAATGCTTCATCTTTGACTTCTTCACTAACTAGTTCAGAATCATTTCTCATATCAACTGTTTGCTTTACTAGGCTCATTCCTGACTCGATCTCCTTTAAAGAGTAAGATACCAAATACTGCTTCTGATTTGTCTATCAATCTATATAGTTGCTAACATTCTGTCAATTAAAAGCACATAAAAATTAAGCCAAGAAAAATTTTTTAAAAATTCTTCCTTCAAAAACATAAGTCAGATTTATTTTATAACTATAGATGGTGACTAGCATGTCTTTAAATTATATTCCTGAACCATTACTAATAACCTTACCAGATATTTTCCAGGAACTGCACATGCATGTTTGAAATCGGTGTTGTGAAAGATTAGGAAATTAGCACCCACCTCCCAATTTAAATGTTTTGTACTATTTTTATATTGCTAACACATAACATTATAATTTTGTTCTTGAACAATAAAGTCCACAGTTGAATCTTAATGATTACTAAAAAAAATACCTTTACCGGGATTTCTTCATTCATCGTCGCTTCCTCCATTTATCACTTGGTTGATTACATCTGCAAGTATCTTTGTTAAAGAAGGCACATGGATGCTATGTTCTTTGAGTTCTTACATCCTTGTTCAACATGTTTTTGTCTATAAAGTCGGAAAGAAAATAAGACTAGCTATCAAAGAACTGCTGAGCCCTGGCTGGTTGCTCAGTGGATAGAGCCTTGGCTTACAGTCTGAAGGGTCCCTGGTTTGATTCCCGTCAATGGCACATACCTCCGTTGCAGACTTGATCCCTGGCCCTGGTCAGGGCACATGCGGGAGGCAACCAATCCTCAAATGTGTTTCTCTCAGATCGATGTTTCTCTCTAAAAATCAATGGAAAAATGTCCTCGGATGAGGATTAACGAAAACAAAATAACTGCTTGATACTTGTATAGTTTACACAAAGGCTGATGGAACAAAGTACCACAGACTGGGTGACTTAAACAATAGAATGCAAATTATGTATATGTTAGATCACTTTTTTTTAATATATTTTATTGATTTTTCACAAGAGAGGAAGAGAGAGGGATAGAGAGTTAGAAACATCGATGAGAGAGAAACATTGATCAGCTGCCTCTTGCACACCCCCTACTGGGGATGTGCCCGCAACCAAGGTACATGCCCTTGGCCAGAATCGAACCCAGGACCCCTCAGTCCGCAGGCCAACGCTCCATCCACTGAGCCAAACTGGTCAGGGCGTTAGATCGCTTTTTTTCCTTCATATCTATCATCTCTCAGGTAATTATTTTATGGTACTTGTTTTATACTTTTTCAAAGTAACTATGACTATATTTCTCATTGTGTTTATTCTATTTTTATTATGACTATTAAGGCTTTCATCTATTTTATGTATTTTATTTTATTTTGTTAGTCCTCACCAGAGGATATTTTTCCCATTGATTTTTAGAGAGAGCAGAATGGAGGGAGGGAGAGGGGAAGAGAAAGAGAGAGAAACATCAAGACACATTGATTGATTGCCTTCCACATGCGTCCCAACCATGTGGTGAATCAAACCTGCAACCCAGCTACTTGCCCTTGACTGGGAATCAAACCACAACCCTTCGTAGCACAGACCAACACTCCAGCTGTTCTCAACCTGTGGGTCGCGAACAATGAAAATACATCCTGCATATCAGAAGTTTACATTACGATTCATAACAGTAGCAAAAGTATCGTTATGAAGTAGCAACGAAAATAATTTTATGGTTGGGGGTCACCACAACATGAGGAACTGTATTAAAGGGTCGTAGCATTGGGAAGGTTGAGAACCACTGCACCATTGAGCGAACCAGCCAGGGCATCATCTCATCTCTCTTATTTTTAATCTTTTTTATCTCAATCTCTGCCACTTTGGTTACATCATTGCCTATAAATTTATGTTGGCTTAAAATCTCTCTTTTGAGCTCCTTTTTAGAGATCATGTTATTATAATTTCTTTAAGATTCAAAAAAATTATATTTATTTGAACTTTTCCAGTTTTTCTAGGGTAATTTCTCACCCTTCAACTTTTGTCTTTCCTTAATGTAGTTGAAGAGGCAGTATGCATGCTTAAGTTGCTTGCTTTTCCTTTTTACCTTAATGCTAATTTTTACATGAGACCAACTACTTGTCAAAATAGAGGGTGGGAAGATCAGACTGTTGTCTGAAGCTGCTTTGCACGGTATTGTAAGTCTCCTGGTTGAGATGCTCTTCCCTCGGTTTTTAGCATTCTGGGAATCATTTTCTGTATTGGGTTGTAGTAATTGCTACTTCCCTTTCTACCTTCAACCTGTTTGACCTCCAGCAGTGTTCCTCAGCTATAAGACAAGGCAGTAGATAAAAATATGGAAACATGATTTCTCCTTCAATTCCATATCCCCTGCTATTAAAAAATATGAAATTGGATCTCTGAAAATATTCCCTGCTGCTGCATTGGCCTAACATACCCCTACACTTAAGACTTTTTCAATAGGTCTTTTAGAACATTGATTTTTAAGCAGATCTTTATTTTTCCTGAAGTCTGAGGAGGCTTCATAGTCCTCACTTATATGGGTCCAAATTGCATAGCATTTGTCAGATGTTTTAAATTGTTCGTGGTTTGGGGATAATGGGTATTTTCTTGTTTAATTGATGATGGTATTTTTTTTTAATCTATCTTTGGTTCTTTTTGTTTTTTCTGGTTTTCAAGGGGAGGGGGAAGTAAGGTAAGAATTCTTTAACACTAGATTTTTAGCCACAATCTACTTTTGGTATTAAACCAGTGGACTCTAATAAGATTTTTCTGGAGCTACTACTTATATTAGCTTATAACTGGTACTATTTCTATGATATTTTCATAAAAATGTTATATGCATGCTTTTATTTTAATGTTTCTGGTAGAAGGTGTAGGCAAAGATGTAAGTTAATTAATAAAGTAGGTTGCTAACTAGAAAACACTTTAGATGGAGCCATTTAGCTTTCTATCAACAGTATATTGCTACTAGGAGTCCTACAGATACCTCAGATTTTATAGGTTGTCCCCAAAAAAGTATGAACACACTGAATAATTATAAAGTCAGTATTTATTAAAATACATTTTATTTTCAAAATTGAGCTATCAGCTATTAAAGTGTTTATACATTTTGGGGTGACACCCTGTATTATAAACCTAACTTCTCTCCAACCCCCTTACATACAATTACATAAGCATCAAACTTGCTTTTCTTGTATTCCATATCTCAATAAATGGTTCCACCATCTGTTGGACAGGCCAAAAATCTGCTTTTACGTGATCTTTTCCCTCCTTTTTGCTCTAATGTCTCTCTTTCAGCTCTTTTTTAGTGTATATTCTTTCCTCCAGCCATACCAGACAGCCTACGCAGGTCTTCCAAAGGAGATGTGTTCTTGGTTGCCTCGATGTCTTTGTGCATACTAGTCCCATCTTCTTTCCCTAATTCTTCAAATTCAGGCTTCAGCTCCACTAGAAAACTTGACTGGCTACCTCCCCAACTTTCTTAAGCTAAATCAAGTAGTTCTTACCTTTCCTCCCATGCATCCCTATACATGTCTTATAGGTCTTATGGTAATTTTGACTACTTGTCTGTCCGAGATCAGTCTATAAGTTAAAGATAGGAGATGTGTTTTGCATCTGTGTTTCTCCATTGTGTAGCAAAATGCCTAGTACATTGTAGAGCTGAATAAGTATTTTTAAATAATAAATGAAAGGCAATACGTTTCTTTTTTTGTAATAGCCCTATTCTGATCATGGAGTTCAAGGAACATATCACCAGGTTTATGCTTCAAGTGCCATTGCTATGCCTGCACCTGTGATGCAGCCTGAACCAATTAAAGTAAGAAGTTTGTTTTGACTATTTTTTTCTGTTTTCTTTTTCTTGATCATATTTCAAGTTTTCCAACTTTCTCTTCTGAAAGGAACAGCTTTGGAGAATTATATCACATTTGTAATCAGAAATACAGAATTAGTGAATTCTTTCATGTGAAGGAAATAGAACCCCAAATTAACTGTAATTTCTATTAGTTTTGAATAAGTAATAAACCACACATGGTCAAAAATGCTTTATTTACTATGGTAAAATATATATAACTTAACATTTTCTATTTTTAAGTGGAAAACTAAGTAGTAACCACCACAGTTATCTGTTTACAAACTTATTAATAATCCCAAATGGAAACTGTACACATTAAGCAATAATTTCTCATCCCCACTCCCAGCCCCTCGTAACCTCTAACCTACTTTCTGTTTTTATGAATTTGCCTAGATATTTCATATGCTCAGATTTTTATTATCTATGTTAATGGAAAGTAAAATTTATGGCAGAAGATCCAAAATGGCAGCAGAGTATGTTACACTCACCTTCTTCCAGGACCAAACTGGAATTACAACTAAAATATGGAACAAGCAACCTGAATAACCAATTGGAGATAAGCTGAACAGAAGTCTTATAACCAAGGATTTACAGAAGAAGCCACATCGAGACTGGTAGGAAGGGCAGAGACATGAAAAGGGCTGATTCTGCTCCCATGGGAGGCAACTGAGATTCCAACTGCTCAGCTGCAAAGGTTACCCCTAAGAAGAGTGGGTCTCAACCCCAAGCTCAGCTCCCCAGCCCAGAACACCAGGAAGAAGCACCCACATCACATCTGGCTGTGAAAATCTCTGGGGATTCTGCCAGGGAGAGACAGGAGTCTGCTAGAGACACACTGCCTTCAAAAGGACCAATGCACAAAATCTCATTTGCAGCCACTTACCCAGGGTTTTGGCAGAGGAAGGGCGGAGCAGACTAGAGTCGTGTGAGGAGAGACTGGGGTTTGTGGCTCTGGGAAGACAGCTGAAGGGACAGCCGCCAGGACCCCTCTTCCCACACCAAAGACACCATCTTTCTTGGGTGGAGCACTCCCTTATGGCATCACCCTGAGGGAATACAATAGCCTTACCCTCTGGATTCCCTGTAGCCCCACTTTGTGGAGCTCATGTACTACTGAGGAGTCAGCTGCCTGAGCTGGGGTACAGAGGTCTGGATAGACTCGGGGGTATCAGTGACTGGTGTGGCTTTGTAGTGAGGGCCATTGCCCCCTCTTTCCCATGAACCTAACTGGCGCCACCCCCTAACAGGAGATATGATAGCCTCTCCTTCCGAATTCCTGGTGGACCCACACTGCCAATGTCTGGGCAGAATCCAGGACAGACTGAGTTGTGTGGCTCTGTGAAAGGGGCCACTCCTCCCACCTTCTCTGAAGCCTGACTGGAACCTCCCCCTCACAGAAGATCTATTAGCTCTAATCTCCCAACTCCTGGAGCCCCTCCCTGCGGAGCTTCAGCTCCTGGCAGAATCTTGAACAGACTTAGTTTTGTGGGTTGTGCACCGGGACTCTTTTTTCTTTGTACACCCAACCAATGCACAGCCTTCCCTCATGCAGCCAAATCTTGATTGGCTTGGGCCTTATAAACTCTACTGGCCTCATCCTGATTACTCTAAGACCCCAACTTACCACAAAGGTCTGTGGGCCCTGCATGGGACATTTGCTGAGTGGCCTCAGACCTAGCACTGGCACTCAGTTTGAACCTGTGTCAATCTGGTGAGAACCACTCACCTCTACCTGATGACTCGCTGAGAACCTTGCTCAGGCAACTCAAGTACCACCAGAGGCTCTTTCAGTGACTGAGTCTAACAGGCAGCCGGCAGATGGAGACAGATCTTGGGTGCCTTGAGACGTTTGCTGGCCTGCCCCCGGGCCTGGTGCTAATAAAAGCCGGCCTTGGTGCATAGTTTGGTCCTTCCTGTTCGCACCTAGGCCCCGCAGAGGTAGCTATAAACTGTGTATAGTTTTCTAGCTCCAAGCAGGTTACCTTCCCTGGGCCAGTCACAGGGCAGCATCTAACATAGGCCTGCACCAGAGTTCCTCCCAAGAGGCCCCAAAACGAGCACAACCAGTGGCCAGCTTCAGAAAACAACAGAACAGGATCCAGTAAACTCCACAAGCAGAGCATCCACAGGAAGAAGCCCATGCCATTACAGTCAATACCTGCCAGGCAAGAACATACATAGGATGGAATAAAGGTAGCCCATCCGATAAATGGTGTTAGAGACTTGGACGGATACAAGCAAAGCAATGAAATTAGACCACCTTCTCACACCATACACAAGAATAAACTCAAAATGGATTAAAGGCTTAAATGTAGGACTTGAAACCATAAAAATCCTAGAAGAAAACACAGGCAATAAAGTCAGTATTTCTGATAGTAATATTTTTTATATATCTCTTTGAGCAAGGGAAAAGAAAAGCAAATGGGACTACATCAAACTGAAATGTTTTTGCAAAGGAAATTTAAAATGAACAAAGTGGAAAGACAACCCAATGAATGGGAGAACATACTCACCAATGACATATCTAATAAGGGGTTAATATCCAAAATTTATAAAGAACTTCTATAACTCAACAGCTCAAAAAAAAAAACCAAGCAATTCCATGAAAAAATGGGCAAAGGATCTGAATAGTTACTTCTCCAAAGATGACATACAGATGGCTCAGTGTCATTAATCATCAGAGAAATGCAAATTAAAACCACAATGCGCTACCATCTCACATCTGTCAATATGGCTATCAATAAATCAACAAAAAAGTGTTGGTGAACATGTGGGAACCCTCGTGCACTGTTGGTAGGAATGCAGATTTGGCGCAGCCACTGGAAAACAGTATGGAGCTTTCTTAAAAAATTAAAAATGAAACTGCCTTAAGACCCAGCGATTCCACTTCTGGGAATATAGCCCAAGAAACCTGAAACACTGATTTGAAAAAATATATGCACCCATGTGTTCATTACAGCATTATTTACAATCACCAAGATTTGAAAACATCCCAACTGTCCATCAGTAGATGAGTGGATAAAAAGCTGTGGTACAGTTACACAATGGAATACTACTCAGCTGTAAAAAAGAAGGAAATCTTATTTTTTGTGACAGCACAGATGAACCTGGAGAGTATTCTGCTAAGTGAAATAAACCTGACAGAGAAAGACAAATACCATATAATTTTGCTCATATGTGGAATCTAATGAGCAAAATAAACTAACAAGCAAAACAGAAACAGACTCAGATAATAGACTGACAGCTATTAAAGGAGGAGGGGACTGGGTGAAAAAGGTGAAGGAATTTTTTAAAAAGCTCATTGACACAGACAACAGTATGGTGATTACCAGAGGGAAAGGTAAAAGAGGGTAAAGGGGAGATAAATGGTGACAGGAAACTTGACTTTGAGTGGTAAACACACAATATAATATACAGATGATGTATTAAAGAATTGTGCACATGAAACCTGTATAATGTTATTAGTGTCACTCCAATAAATTCAATAAAAATTGAAAATAAAAAATAAGTCCTGGCCAGGTGGCTCAGTTGGTTGGAGAATCCTGTACAACAAAAAGGTTGCAGGTTTGATTCCCGATCAAGGCACATACGTAGGTTTCGGATTCCATCCCTGACTGGGCACATGTGGGAGGCAACTGATTGGTGTCTCTCACATTGATGTCCTCTCTTCCTTCCCACCTCCGTCTCTCTTAAAAAAAATAAAACATCCTTGGGTGAGAATTTTAAATAAATAATAAAATTTAGCAGGAGATGAAAATATTTCATCTCTTCCAGTTTGGGAATTGTGCTCGTGTATTCTAAATCAGATGTGGGCCAAAGAGTGATCATCTAGTTAGATGTGTGTATATATTCAATAGATTTCAACTCTACTATATAGCAGGGAATTCTGTTTATTCCCAAATGACCTAGTTTCTTGGTAAAACTCTTGCATCATTACTGATTAACAGTTAGTATGGTCATTTGAATCCTGTTTGCAGGATACTTTGGTAAGGAAAGTGAGCACACTCTTTACAGTAAAATGAAAGAGATTAGCTATTTCACATTCATATTTATGCTTCTGACCCATCCCAGGTATTGGAGCTCCATACTAAAATAGTCAGCTTTAAGGAGACTCCTCACCCTCTGTTATCCCCTCACCGTCTTCACTCACTGCATTCCTTCACTGCTGTTATCACTACTGCAAACATGAAATAAAACCCTAATTTTGATGTAGTCTGAAAGTCTACAGTGTTACTAAAGTTGCATCAAAATGTAAAACAGACTTTCTTTGATGTTAATATTTTCTATAAATATACTTCTCTTGAATTAGCCATTTCATATTAGATACGTGCTATTTATTTTCAGTTACATATTTTAAATATACATATATATAAATGATTGAAGTTTTACTGCTTGACAAGAGAGGATGAACTGGTAACCTATAGGATAAGAGCAACTTCCAAAGAATATTAAGCATGTTTTTAAAGTGACACTCTTTTTGCTTTAATATTTTTTGTCTTTTTCTGCTCTTGAAATGAGCTCTCAATTACAAAATACCAAACTGCACTTAAAAACTCCAGCATTGGCACAATATGGAGAAGCCCACAAGTAAGCAGCAGCAGGGGCAAGAGGTGGGAAATGACTGAAGCAGTGGTTACAAATAGCTGCAGGAAGCTAAAACCATCCAGCAGGATGTGCCCTAAAGTTAGCACAGGTTAGACTAGTTACTACCTTGGTCGGTGGCCTCAGTGTAGTTGGGTTCAGATTCTACATGGCAATACAATTTCTTCCAGTTAAGAGTTCTTGGCCTGCACCAATCTTGGTGACCAGTCTATTAGTTTTTCAAAATGCTGTCGTAGACCTGATAGAGGTACTGAGAGGCGTCTGGAGCCCTACACTTCAGCGAGTGTATAATTGCGGTTTCCTGGCTGGATACGTAGCTCAGCCAAGATCCACATGCCATTAATGAGCTTCAGAGATTGGTA